ATAACCACAGTATTTGTAGTAAAACTGCAGTAACCACAAATTTACCATGGTAATAATAATAATGCATTTTAGTACTTATGTAACACCATGTTTATTTTTTATGAGGTACCCTCGAAGGTGCACCTTTGTAACTTATCTACCCTTAAAGCATGCATTCTTGTATGGTACTAATATGCTCCCTTTTAGGGGTATAGTTGCACCTTTGAGGTTACTGCCCCAGTAAAGGGCTAAAATACAATTATAGGACATTTCATTTCTGACAGTGTAAACAAAAAAGGCCTGTGAAATGTTTAAAAAACACGGCTTTAATATCTAATATTAAGTGAGTATAGTTACTGATTATATTCTTAACGATATTCTTTGTTGTATTTTGCTGTCAAAATAACGGAGCTCCTTTGGAATTCTTCCGCTTTTAAGAACTACCGCTTTCTCCGGCGCTCACCTATTATCGTCCCTGTTTTGATTTCAGCAAATCAGTTCGAGCGAACGCACACAACCTGATTAATATTCATGAATCCAGTAGCTCATTAATCCTTGGTGCGTTTTATATTGTTCTTATTAGCAGAATTCGTATCATTATTATCTTATATTTTTGTTAGTTTTTCCTCAATTTTTAATTTTTTTTACAGAAACACTGAATGACCAAAATAGCACCACCACCAGTCCGAAGTTCAGTTAAAATGACTAATATGCATTCATACATGGTTATCAAGTTTTAATTCTAATTACTAAAGTTCTATCATTAAATAATATTGATTATCATATTATAATGCTTGACTGACTGATGTTAAGAGTGTACTTTCAGATATTTATAAAACTGTGCCATTTTACAAACAAACATATATATTTATTTATCAGTCTGGCGAGTAAACAAAAAAATGTACTAGCCAATGGCGATTCAATTGCCAAGGTGTTCGTAGAGGGCTGAGTCACCTTTATTTGTATAGCGCTTTATACTTTGAAGAGTTTGTCAATAATGCAAGAAGACAATATGCAGACAATAATTTAATTCATAAATTGATGGGATTGAGGCTGCTTTTGTACATGTACAGTAGATTTGTTTTTGTTGTTGCTTGTTTTCTTTTTGTTTTTTTTAAAGAGGTCAAATCATAAACATTTAAGCAGTGCTTAAGGTTTATTCTAGTCAATGTTTAAGGCAGCAAAAACATTAATTATTTAAAGATATTATCGAATTATATTTAGAGCTACTACAGTTGCATCAAAGTTGCAGTGCTGCACTGTAGCCAAAAACAGTCATGTCTACTGAGTACACAATGCAATGATCTCCTTATTGCAGCGTGATTTCTGCAGTCTTACGAATACTTTCATCATAATGAACACAATGAAAACATAAAGCAAATAAGAGACTCCTTGAGCAGTGTAAACTGTGTCATGGATTACAATAGGAGTTTTGGTGAAAATGCAGAAATCAAATCACTGATAGAATCATGCTGATCTTAAATTGACTTCTCCAGTAGTTATAAAGAGAATGTTCTTTGATCGCTTTCTGTATATAAAATAATTAGAATATAGATGAAAGAGAGTCTTCATTCTATTAACAGGAACAGTGTACAGTGCATATTACACGATCACAAGGTCATGATGGTCATCAAATCCGGGTGTTTCAGAAGGGTAGAAAAGAATAATTCATATTATATACTGTTCCTTTAAGAAGTCTTTGTTAACAATGTTTATTGATTGACTTTTAACATGTGAAATGAGTCATAGCACTTACTCACAGGCTGCAGGTTTGCTGTTGGGTCCAACAACAGGGTTGTGAAACGTTCTGAGCCTAAATGTGTTGTTTGACATGATCAGGGACCTTGTTAAAAATAATCTACTAATCTATTTTTTTTATATACAGTATCTCACAGAAGTGAGTACATCCCTCACATTTTTGTAAATATTTTATTATATCTTTTCATGTGACAGCACTGAAGAAATGACACTTTGCTACAATGTAAAGTAGTGAGTGTACAGCTTGTATAACAGTGTAAATTTGCTGTCCCCTCAAAATAACTCAACACACAGCCATTAATGTCTAAACCGATGGCCACAAAAGTGAGTACACCCCTAAGTAAAAATGTCCAAATTGGGCCCAATTAGCCATTTTCTCTCCCCGGTGTCATGTGACTCATTAGTGTTACAAGGTCTCAGGTGTGAATGGGGAGCAGGTGTTAAATTTGGTGTTATCGCTCTCACTCTCTCATACTGGTCACTGGAAGTTCAACATGGCACCTCATGGCAAAGAACTCTCTGAGGATCTGAAAAAAAGAATTGTTGCTCTACATAAAGATGGCGTAGGCTATAAGAAAATTGCCAAGACCCTGAAACTGAGCTGCAGCACAGGGGCCAAGACCATACAGCGGTTTAACAGGACAGGTTCCACTCA